TCCCGGCCTGAAATATTTCATATTTTCCTGATGCGTTTTATTCTGGTAACTCTTTTTTCTTTCCGGCAGCAGCTTATTGAACACAGATCTAATTTTTCTAGCAAATATCAGCTCAGCTGTAGACATCCCTGATATTGCGTTTGGATTTGGTGTTATTTTGTATATACTTAAAAACTGCTGTATATTACCATCATCTGTATTAGTACCATTTGTTTTTTTTAAGGGCTGTCTTGAACGTATCAACAAACCGTTCAGCCTGTCCATTTGACCTAGGATGGTACGGTGAAGTCGTGATGTGGTCAATTCCCAGAGTCTTACAAAACGTCTTAAATTCACTTCCTTTGAATTGAGTTCCATTGTCTGCGACAATTTTTTCTGGTACTCCAAACAGTTCCGTAAGAAAATCTTTTGTTACAGAAGCAGTTGGTCTTTTGCACTTAAAAAATTTCAGGCCACTTGGAATAGCTATCCACAACTATCAAGTAAAATTACCATTCATGGGTCCAGCATAATCTATGTGGAGTCTGGTCCATGGAACATCTGTTTTGGCCATGGTGTGTATTTTACTGGCGGTGCTTTCGCTGCCATTTGACACCCTCTACAAGTTTTCACTACCTGTTCAATGTCTTTGTCCATATTTGGCCAATAAACGTAACTCCTCATCAGGGCTTTCATACGTCCAATACCAGGATGCCCCTGATGAAATTCCTTCAAAATCCGCTTTTGTAGTACAACCGGTATCACAACCCTTCCAGCATATAACAGCACTTCATCATATATTGAATATGCTGGTGAAGAAGTTTTATACTTTCCTGAAGTAACTTCTTTCATTTTTTTAATAAAAATGTCATTTTCTGATTTTATTTTTATTTCATCTAATGTCACCGGTAATTCCTTTACTGTGTTATGCATTACTTCCACCAATTCATTTTCTGCTTGTAACGACGCTATCACCGTATCTTCTAGCGGTTCCGAAGACGTTGGGATCAGTCTAGATAAACCATCAGCATGGCTTAAATTTTTCGATGATAAAAATTCCATTTTGAAATTGTAATTCAACAAAATGGTTCCCCATCGTTGCAAACGATTTGCCGTATGAGTAGGTATACCCTTCTTCGAACCATAGATTGAAAGCAGCGGGTGATATATATAAACCACCTTCCATGTATGTACTTATGGAATATTTTACAAGCATAGATGATAGCTAAGCTTTCTTTCTCAATTTGAGAGTACTTTTCTGTGGGTAATAATGTCCTTGATGCATGTGCCACTGGCTTCGTATTGCCGTCTCTGAATTTATGCAAAATTACCGCACCTATTCCGTACTTGCTTGCGTCCGATGACACTATAATTTCCTGTTTAGGGTCATAATGTGTTAGTGATAATTCCGACGTCAAAATATTCTTTATTTTGTCAAACGCCTTCTGACACACTTCTGACCATTCCCACTTTGCTCCCTTTTTAAGCAATTTATTTAATGGAGCCGTAAGGCTGCACAAATTAGGAATATATATCCCATAATAGTTAGCAAGTCCTAAGAACGCTTGTAGCGTTACTACATTTTTGGGAGATGGCATACTTTTGATCGCTTCTGCCCTCGCCGTATCTGGTCTTCTTCCATCAGAGTCTATTATCTTCCCCCAAAACTTAATTTCATTCATAAAAAATTCACATTTTTCAGCTGCAAGTTTGAATAAATATTCTTCAATTTTTCCAAAAACCTGATTAATATGTTCCAAATGTTCATTTCGATCTCTACTTTTTATCAAAATATCATCAAGATATGCAATGGCGAAGTCCAACCCTGCCAGCGCAGTGTCCATAATTTGCTGAAAAATACTAGGAGATACTTTTAAACCAAAAGGCATACGGTTAAATTTGTATAAACACTTGTGTGTATTGATAGACAACAATTTAGAACATTCTTCGTCCACTTTCACTTGGAGATAGGCATCCGATAAATCCAATTTAGAGAATATTTTTCCTCCACTTAAACTTGCAAAAATGTCTTCTGGTGAAGGCAAAGGATATGTGTGGTCTTTTAAGCAATCATTTAGACCCGTAGAGAAATCGGCACACATCCTAATTTTATTATTCTTTTTCTTAACATATACAACAGGGCAGGCCCACTCTGTTTTCAATTCTTTGACACTCTTCCGTAACCTTCTGCAAAGTAATCTCGGAATTTTGTTCGAGTTTTGCCAATATTCGGGACCTTATGTCCTTATCTTTGCTAGAAGTCAAGCCTTGAACAAATATCAAACATTTAAATCGATCAATTGAAAGATCATGTAACATAAAACATTCACACATTCTGTTAACATTTCCAGCATACGTAACAATATCCTCATCGTCACGCTTTACCATATTCAAACACGAGAAACGAGTATGAAACAAACTAACTCGCTCGCTCGCCAAAAATACTAGATAAAGTATTAACAGTTTCTTCGAAAGAAATGTCACTAGTTTTTCTTGGAAGGACAAAATTCGTATACTTATTATTTTCATCTGTACCCAACTTTTGTAAAAGTAAACTCACTTTTTGTTCATCAGTCCAACCTTCACATTTTTTTTCAAATATTGTTTCAAATCTTCTGAAATACGCAGGAAATGTTATTTCCTCCTCTGGGTTAAATTTGAACTCAGTAATAGAATTAGCAATACCTTCGGCCGTGAATGACGAATTTACTGAATTCTTAAGTAAAATTGCTTCATATAAAGCCTTTGTATCATTTCGCTGAACTTGTAAAACCAATAGTTGTTCCCGAAACAATTTTTGTTGCTCTTGTTGCTGAATTTGACTTTGCACTAGAGTTTTCGTTAATGCAATCAAATCTTCCATTGTGCGTAATAGATTACACAAAACACTTTTCGAAAACAGTCAAAAAAGGGAAAAACACGTATATATCCAACAATAAGCACAAGTCTTACTTCTTTTTGGCAAGTTGAAATCCTATTTCTTCGTGAAGAACAAAGTTCGACATATTGTTTTTTTTTTCTTTCAGTGCAAGAAAAAAAAATTATATAGTCCACCTAGAGTTGAAAGATTCTCCACTCAGCGTGATGAACGAATCTCTCGTCGCCACTGTTACGATGTTGATTTGGGGTTAATAAAGACAAACGCCAAATAACACGTAACAATAAAAAGGGGTTTATTCGGTTGGTAAGTAGGTACAGAAATCGCCTGAGTAGTCTATAACTAGCTCAGCCAAGAACTTCTCCGACTCTCTGTCTTTTGACATGCCACTATTTAACGTCTTTGTTTGTAGACAAGTTCATCTTCAAGAGGGGTGGTAGGTTTCCTACACAACAGTTTCAATTCACCGACATATATGAGGAAACACATACCTCAAATCCCATTAGAATTCAACTGAAATTATTTTACTATAAAAATGCATTGTAAGTAATTTTACTGTAGAAATGCATTTCCAGTTATTTTAATGCTGTCTTATTATATAACGGATAGGATTACTTAAACGAATACGACAAAAGATTTACATAACAATTACTTATATAGTTTCTTAACATATATTGATTGTTGGGGAAAATGTAACCATCGCCATTTTATTTTACTAATAGTATTGGTAAGTGTATTGGTAATGGCAATATTACTAATGGTATTGGTAATCGTAATATTAGCTGTTTCCTTATGTGGAAATATTTAACCGAACTACTGTTGGTTGAAATTTATGTAACTTATGTTTTCAAGAAAATAAATTTCTTAAGTTCACTGCTATCGCTCTTTCTATTATTAATGGTTTTTTCCTTCTTAACATTTACTTTGAATTATTGTGGAATGTCAACAGCTTGACTATGTCATAATTTTCTCTATAGGTTACTTGCGTTATACATTTATCTGTTGCTGTTATTGGTAGGTCTCAAATGTTGAGGTTTCTGTTATTTAGCACAGTTAACTAAATTTGAACAAGTATTTAGAGGTACTCTTTCGGCTTAACATATTGTGTCCTTTTCTACTGTTGTTGTAATTAGCTTCAATCGGTTCTTCTACGAACAAACGAACAATAATAATAAAGTCACTAAAAATCAAGAGGTTGATGAATGTGAAAGAATATTAGAAAAAGAAAAATATTATTAACTATCTTAAAGGTTTCCCTATCGGGCGTCATTTAAGCTAGTTCCTGCAGAGGGCTCTTGATTGTGCCTTCGACTTGTTCAGGAGTTTAAGAGTCCTTAAGTCATTGCATATTCTTAACATTGGAAACTCTCCTGGCTACCGTTTGATCTGGATTTTCATTTACCTAGGACTTTCTTTTCTTCGCTGCAGCCATGGATCTTTTGATTACAATTTGGTCCTCTGTTGATGGATGCTAAGCATACTGCTGCCGTTTGCGATAGTCATACTGCTGCAGTATGCGATAGGCATCAATAGACTACAGAAGAACTTAAAATTGATCGCTGCATTTAAGTATTGCATTAATATTTAAGCTTACCTTGAACGCCGCCACTTAATATAAAGACAATTTGATGTACGTAGGTCCTTACTTTCCGTACAAACAATTATTTTTATTTCATTAGTGACTTTCTCTGGATTTCGCAATTAATTTCCATTATTCCTAAATTTATTTCCAAGTAATAAAAATTGTTATCGAACAAAGATATTCGTCGCAAAAATTCACGTAAAAATCGCCGAAAATAATCGCAGAAAGGAAAACGTGGGAATCCAAAATTTCTGTAACATGAGCTATTGAAAGTTAGAGAGTTGTGTCCCTTTAACAGAAAAAGCTTGACACAGTGACACACTGACATTCGCATTTATTACATAGAAGAGAGAGAATATTAGTTGATTGGTTCGTTTTCTACGGTATTTGCAAGTTATTTAAAGCCAGAAGCTAACTTTAGATTGTAAGAATTTAGCGGGGAGATAATAATTGTTTAGTAATACAAGGCTTACTAATATAACGAACCCAACGGGAATTGGAACTCAGCTCACCGATTAACAATTTCATCCATAATCTATTGCACCACCTGCACATCCAAGCGTACAGCACCCGGTATTTCCAAGCGGTTACCCATCTAGGTACTGACCAGTCTCGACGTTGTTTAACTTCTGTGATCTTACGTGAACTAGTATTTCAACGTGATGCGGCCGTGAGCTGGAAAGAGAGCAATAAAAGAACAGGAATTAAGAAGACAGAAGATAAATATTGACATTGAATTTACAAGATCAAAGTTGACTGGAATGCAAGAACCTGGAAAAGAGTTCCACAAGCGAGGAGTGCAGGAGAAGAATTCTTAGCAGAGACCTTATGGTTACATCTAGCAGTTTCAACTTTAAAATGATGAGACCTAGCTGCCAATCTAGTAGTGAGCTCAAATTCGTAAACTCTAGGTACTATTCGTCAGAATAATCGCTATGAAACTATTTATAGAAAAGGCACGAGGAAGCCACGTTACAGTGATGGAAAAGTCCTTGAAGTCGAGATGCCAGATCAGGATAGATAATATGACAGGCCCGTCTTTGGATTTTGAGGAGAATCTAGATATATATAGCCGGAATAGAAGACTAGATATGGCAGCATTATTCTCTGCATAGAGGAATTGTAGACTTATAAATTTTCAAGATGGATTCCGACGTGAAAAATTTTCTAGCACGTCACAATCTTCTTAGAAGCAGACCTAGCAATTGAATAAATATAATCTCCCCACTTCACGTATGTATGAAACGTGAGACAAAGAAAACACAATGTGTTGCTCTCTTGGAGGTTATCATCAGCCATGCTGATGGAGGGAAAATGGTTTTCTGTGATAACAGTTTCGGTTTGGATACATTAAAATTTACAAGCCATTTGTTGTCCCAGTTAACAATTGATTGGGAGTAATTTTCGAGAGCAGCTGTCCGTTTTCCATGGTAAGTCTATATGACTTACTATTAAGACAAGAGTAAATAGTGGTCATCAGCATAAATACATAGTTGGCAATTGATGACATCGCGAAGGTTCTGGATGAAGATAAAAAAAAACGTTGGTCCAATGATAGATGAGAGACACCCGCATTAATGTGAAATAGTCTAGAATCATTGCCGTTCAACATTACCAACATTATTTACATTATTCGGACTATTGTCCCCATCTTTGTCGCCATATTTATTACAACGTTTCTGCCGTTGTACGCTCTAGCCTTCTTCAGGTGGTTGAAATGTCGAACTTAACCCTTTATTTCGACCACTGGGGTAAACTGTTCTAGTTCCACGTGCCATGTTTAATAGATGTCAGTTATCAGTTATCTCCTGTTAATTTTCCTCTGAAGTTTCTCCACTGCCTTAACCGGGTATTGAACTCACTCTTTTTGGGTCCTGTCACTGGATCTAACCAACGTCCTTATCCACTGTGCCACGTGTCCTTGAGAAAATTAACAGGAGTTTACCCACTCGAAATTCTTGCAATGATACCTATCCATGCGCAATTTGGTACTGCAAGAACTCCGACATTATACGACTGATGGCCAGAGCAGTATCTCTATTCGCTACCAAAGATTCTGGGCTCCTTACTACCAGTCGGGATGCAGCACCAGAAAACTACCAACCTGATACCCGATACAAAATGAAGAGCTTAGCCTCCAGCCAAAAGGTCATGACAGCCATTATTATTAAGGCCTCTGGAGAACCGGAAACCCAATCCTAAATAGGAAACCTATACACCAGTTCAAAAGGATTGAAGTGATCGTCAATCAATTAAAATACTTAGAGTACTTACCTGTATAAAAGTAATCATAATAATCTACCTGTATAAAACCTGGCAGCCTCCAGAACAAATTATTAATCATTATATATACGGATAGAAGCCATAACCTCATACGGACAGAAGCTATAACTTCACACAATATAATATTTACTTGCCGCCCCACGCTTGAGGGATGTGACACAAGGTTAGTTGTGGGGAGTCCGAGCAAGAGCTCCTGGGCCAGGTCCAAATATAGCCTAGCTCCTGTAACCATCGGTTGCGTTGGGGTCAATATTACTGCCGATCCTCTAAATTTAGTGCAATGAGGGAGGTATTACCCCAGGTAGCTGTTCCCCCGGGACCTGGCACCTCTCAATAATGTTTTCAGCTGCGCTCTGCCCGAAGACAAACATACAACTGAGAGATGATTAATACATCCTCGCAAGTTAGATTCGCAGTATTACACCTCACACAATATATATATATATATATATATATATATATATATATATATATATATAAACATATCATGAAAAGCTTATCAACATCGGTTCTTTCTTCTATGTGCCGTGTTCCTTCAGGACGTAGGTGATCATGGCTATCCACTTCCTCCTCTCCCTTGTAGTTCTCAATATGTTTTGTCCTTTTGCTACTTCTCCCAGGCCCTGTCCTGCCATCCATTCTAGGTATGTCACGCGTTGCTTTCTCTTGTCTCTCTTTCCCTCTATCCGCCTTGTGAGTATCTGATTCTCCAAGCCCTCCCTTCTAATTACGTCTTTTTTTTAAGCATTACGCACCAAGCAAAGCGGGAAGCCACTAGGATGCAGGGGGTTGTAGAAGATTTGGAGCGAGAGCAGAAAGAAGTGATAGAGGAATGACGAGGAAAAGGATAGTGGATAGATCAAGGCAACTGGAGATGTCGATTGACATTACATTTGAATAGTTGGAGATTATAGCTCTCAGGGAAACAGTAATAGGGAAGGGTGTTCCACAGGCGAGAGGTGCGAGTTATGAAGTTATTGGAGTAGAAGAGACGGCTACATTTAAAAGTTTCTACAGTGAAAGGGTGAGAGCGGGATGCCAGTCTCGTAGGGCGCTTGAATTCATGAAGTCTGGGAACCAGTGAAAGCAGCTCAACGGAGCAATTACCATGAAAGTATTTGTAAAAAAGACAGAGAGAGGCGACGGCGCGTCTGTGAGAGAGCAACTGCAGGCGTGATGCCAGATCAGGGCCTATTAGCTGCCCCTTCCTGGTGTTAAGTATAAGCTTCTTCCTTGTTTGCTTTCTCTCCAAAACCTCATCATTGCTCATATGTTCGGTCTATGGTATCCTTAGCATCCTTCTGTGGAACCTATACCTCAGTTGCCTCGAGACTCTTCTTCATCTTTGAGGAGACTGTCCAACAGATATCACGTAGCAGTTCAGTACACTTTTCTTTGGTTAACCTATTAACGCCTAACGTAAAATACAGTATTAATTATAATTTTTTTAAGAAAAAATCCGGTAATAATTATAAATTTCTAAACAAAAATAGTATTATCATCTTCTATGTGCCATGTCCTTTCAGAAAGTTGGCAATCAGAATTATTCACAACTTCTTATCTTCGTACCTCTGAGCAATGTTTGCCTTTTTATGATGTCACCCATTTCTTGTTCTGCCATCCATTTACACAAGCTTTTTTTCAAGTTTTTTACTCGCTTATTTCATCAGTCCCTCTTGCCTTCAATATATTTTTAATGTGTCAAATTCATCAGCCCTACTTTTTTCCTAATGTGTCTTAGAAATTTCAACTCCCTCTTTCGGATTTTATGTATAAGTTTCCTTTTTTTCTATTTTCCTTAACACTTTCTCGTTTCTTACATGATCCAGCCATAACATTCTCATTAACCTTCTGTAAAACAACATCACTTTTGCCTCGAGACTTATCTTCATCTATGAGAAAATTGCCTTGCCATACAGGAAGTTTGATATTACATAGCAGTCTGTTCAGCACTGTTTTCTTTGTTTCTAATGAGATGTTCCGGTTTCTTAATACTTTCTTTAATTTTTTGAAGGCTATTCTATGTGCCTTCCGATATCGGTGTCACATGGTCTATATCGATTATATGAGGTTCCATTAATACACACGGTCCCAAAATGGAACGGTGGACATTAATGTTTTAATATCACTTTTATTGTGAAAAAAATGACTTACATCGTAAAATCTGGCACCATGTCCATTGAAATGAAAAATGCCCGGATATAAATAGATACGCACACAGGCAGGTTCATTAACCGTCCATATTGGCAATATGTGGGCGAATAGATAACGTCTGCCCAGCAAATAAGTGGCTTTTGACGGACATTAATAGAAATGCTTATAAATAATCAAGAATTGATCATTGTATGATTTACTGGTAACGAGAGGGTTGCTATTTTTAGAGAAGTCCACATGGCCTCATTTGAATTTATCGAACACGACAGTCACGTTCCGCTTTTTCTCCCGAAACAGCAAAATTTAGCAAGTGATAATTTGTTAAATAAATATATAGAAAAATGAAAGTGTAAAGAGACTGCGACGCGTCAAGAAAGAAAGTCTAAATGAATAGAAAGGGGAAAAATGAATGAAAGATTGAGACTGAAGGGAGAAAAGAGAACGAGAGAGGGAGAGATAAAAGAAAGAAAGAAAGAAAGAAAGAAAGAAAGAAAGAAAGAAACCGTAAAACGAGTGGAAAATAAGGCAAAAAAGATAAAATGAAGGAAGGTGAACGCTTTGTAAAAAAGAAAGAAAGAAAGAAAGAAAGAAAATAATATTGAAGGAAAGCAAAAAATTGAAGAATAGAAAAAGAACAAACTGAAAATGATAAAGAATTTGAAAGAAAGAAAGAAAGAAAGAAAGAAACTAGAAAACGACTGGAAAAAAGATAAAATGAAGGAAGGCGAACGCTTTTTAAAGAAAGAAAGAAAGAAAGAAAGAAAGAAAGAAAGAAAGAATATTGAAGAAGAGCAAAAAGAATGAAAAATTAAAAAAATCGAATTAAAAGAGACAAGGAATTTGGAAGAAAGAAAGAAAATATGGAAGGAAAGCGAACAGAACGAAATAAAAAATACTGAAAGAACGAACTGAAAGAGATAATGAATTTGGAAGAGGCAAAGAAATAAATGAAAGATGGACAATGGAAGTGTCTCTTTTGTGCGAGAAAGAGAAAATGGTGGACAGAGAAAATGGTTTATTAGCATTAAGACATCACAAAAATTATAGGTTCTATTATTGTCTTGTCATTAACAAATTTAAAAAAGTTTGATCGACTCGAAGCTTTGACGATGAATAATCGAACGAGAATATAATTTTTAAAAACAGGAAAAAACACTCGCTGTATTTTTCTTCTTTGATTTGCTTAAAAATCTGTGATTGTATCCGATTCTCCTGTAAACTATGGAAGACATAATAGTCAAGATTCCATTGGTTAGTAAAAGGCTTTAAGTTTAGTACAAGGCCACAAATGTAGGAGAACCAATAAAAACAGAACTCAAGGCGAGCTCGTAAGCACTCGTGCTACGACAGGCACTTTTTCGATAATTATTTATTAAACTTAATTTAGTACAATATGTACCAGATGAAGATCGATCTGATTCAGAGAACTGATCCGAGAAATGAACTTACTAACCATCGCGCATGAGTACGCGCCCTCTATATGTGATCTCTCTTGGATTCCGACTAATTCCAGAATTCGCAGCATAAAACAATAAGAACATTTCGTTTTTAGCTACAGTATCAGGATAAGGTCATCAGCTAACGTAACTGGTCTCAAGATACTACAGAATGACTCCTGTAGTGTCATAATATCATAGAATCCAGCAATCAGTCATTTGTTTCAATCAGTAACCTCTACCAGAATAATTTCATATTTCTCGAGTTGCCACACGGAGAAAATGGAAACAAAAAGAAAACTTATACTTAACATTAGGAAGAGACAGTTGAAGTTTCTGGGGCACCTAACCAGGTAAGGAGGCTTGGAAAATTTGATACTCACAGGACAGACTGAAAGCGAATGGGACAGAGGAAAGCAACGCGAAAGCTACCTAGTGAGATAGTGATTTTCTAAGCCCGGCTTAGATGTGGCACAAGGCCGAAAGTAAGGGGCATCTAGAGAGGATCGAACTCACTTTTCAGTAGTAACTGATGTAGCAAGACAAGCTTGCTAACCATTACACCACGCCGAGGGGCCCAAAGTGGTTTTCCAAGCGTAGCTTAGATGTGGCACAAGGCCGAAAGCATGAGGTATCCAGTGAGGATCGAACACACTTTTCAGTAGTAACTGACCTAGCAAGACAAGCTTGCTAACCATTACACCACGCCGAGGTGCCCAAAGTGATTTTCCAAGCGTAGCTTAGATGTGGCACAAGGCCGAAAGTATGAGGCACCCAGTGAGGATCGAACTCACTTTTCAGTAGTAACTGACCTAGGAAGAGAAGCTTGCTAACCATTACACCACGCCCAAGCTACCTAGTGAGATATGAGGGAATGGTTGGTAGAACAACTTTTAGGAGTGATGATGATAAAATTTGTTAAGCTCTACAATGGGCAGAAAATTGTGGAGAGTCATGATTGCCTACGTCTTGAAAGGTCATGGCACATAGGAAGAAGAAGCTTTGCATTAGAGCACTTTCAAAACTGACAAACTTGTCTGTTGTAATTTTTTTATTAAAACCAGCTGACGTTTAGATTCACTCATGGTTCCAAACGAATACAGAAGTACTTCATGTAAAGCACAAACACCATAAGTCCTCCATAAAAAATAAAAAACGTGTCTGTTAATAGATTGATTCGTTTTTTAGGCTTATCAACCTTTTGTACGTTATTATAAATATTTTTAGATAGTAAAAATTTTTTTGAGATAATAATGATTTTTAGCGTTACAAATATTGCTTTTTCAGCCATAAATGGGAAGAAAGGTGGATTCCTACCTTTTCCAAAGGTTATTTGCGCGTAAGTGAATATAACAAACTCGACTGAAATTGGAACTCGGCTTTTCGATTTACAATTTGGAACCGTCACCCATTACACCACCCGCACATCCAAGCTTACGGCAACTGCTATTCGAAAGCGGTCACCCATTTAGATACTGAGCAAGCTTGAATTTGCTTAACTTTGGTATATCAACATAATATAGCTGTAAGCCTTGTGTATGGATTAGCCTTGTGATATTTATACAGCATTGGATCATTTGTAGTTTACGACAAAAAACATAATAATAGGTACTCCATTATATTCACTTATCCGTCAACCTTCTTTTATCTGTGCATCGTTCATCAGGACATGGGTGGTCCACAATTTGCTGTCTTTTCTGGCTCTGAGTAAGATCGCAATAATACCGGATTAGTGATGGTCAACCTGTATGGCGGCTATAAAGTAGCCAACATAACAGCAATTTGTGTTTTGTATCATGTAATCACGCTCTTCTAGCTGATAAAATGCTATTTTTCCCTTAAACTTGAATATTTCTGTATTTCTAAATGTAAGGCTGTGAATAATAGATTTATACAGGATGCGGCTGAAATACCTCCCGCATAACAGTCAATTATGTGCCATACGTGATACACACGATTATCTATCTTTCGATACATGACTGACGAGGCAGATTTTTTTCCTGCAGCAGGTTGCCATTTCTTTCTGCAGTAGACCAGCTGCCACTGAACCCGGTCTGTCCTGCTGTTTACTCATATCTTGGGGAGAGCGGGGACGGAGAAGAAGATTCATACCTTTCCCAAGAGTATTAGCACGTAAGTGAATGTAATGGATTCGACTGGAATTCGAACTCCGATACCTCAATCCGAGTCGCTATCCATTATTCCACCAATATCTTACCATTATGCGGGAAGTATTTCTGAGATGCATATCTGGAAAGTATTTATGCTGCACCTATACAATGCGTTCCAACTTTATATGCAAATCAACAAAAGAGTAATAGTCATAAAACTAATAATCTTGAAGTCATCAATTTTCGGTCAAAAGACCGCTTCTTATTTATGCGGACTACTACAAAGTCTAAGATTTTATTAGACTATAGAATCTCAATTCTATTAGACTATATAAAATATTAATACTAATAACGTTTCAATTTCTGTCAGCCATTTCCAAATAATGAATTAGCCTGAGGTTTGGTCGTTAGGAAATCGATGTAAAGACCAACTTTCTGACATAGGTCAAGATAAAGGCACAACCAATCAAATGAAAAATGGTACGACATTGCTCCAGTTCACATTGCTATTACCATCATAACGAAATTTAATGACTCCAGGATCATTAATCGTATGATTATCTTTTTATTGATTTGCATATAATGTTGGAATGCACTATATGTCAAAAGTGTTTGTAAAATTTTCTCTCTAGCCTTGTTAATCCATCGAAATACACAAAATTCTGGAAGCGTGGCAAGAATGTAATGTACTTCGGTATTGCATATTTTAAAAGTCCGCAATAGAAGCTTTTTTAGGAAGAATGTGTGGCCTTAGACTTTCTTACGAACCGAACATGTGAGCAATGAAGTTTTAGAGAAAATGGAAACAAAAAGGAAACTTATACTTAACATCACGAAGAAACAGTTGACGTTTCTGAGGCATATAATAAGGAAAGAGGGATTGGAAAATCTGTTACTCACTCATCAAATGTTGAGTCCGCAATGTATTGATCGTTTAAGCGATTCAAATCATCGTCCACTTTAAAGATTTTCTCATCAAGGAAGTATTACAGCAATAAAAGCTGGCTTTTTTTGTCAAGGAAAGGAAAAGACAAAGCTACAGTAGTTTAAATGAAAAGAGGGACAAAAAAGAGGCGACAAAAAATGGGAGACACAAAAGGGAGACAAAAAATGGGAGACACAAAAGGGAGACAAAAAATGGGAGACACAAAAGAGAGACAAAAAATGGGAGACACAAAAGGGAGACAAAAAATGGGAGACACAGAAGGGAGACAAAAAAGGGGAGACACAAAAGGGAGACAAAAAATGGGAGACACAAAGCGAGACAAAAAAGGGGAGACACAAAAGTGAGACAAAAAATAGGAGACACAGAAGGGAGACAAAAAATGGGAGACACAAAAGGGAGACAAAAAATAAGCGGAATAAATTAACCGATTATTGCTCCTCAGCCGTCAGAACTCGATCGAAGTAAATAAAATAACATTATTGCGCACAGCAACTAAAACGGAGACATGAAAATGTAAATACACGTATTTCAGAAATATATTGAGGCGAGCATATTTTTTTTATAAACTCCTGTCTAAAAAAACAACCATTCCTAATGCGATCTGTTTATAAAAATATATACGGAAAAACAAGGATATATTAATAGCTAACTGTATTTGGCTTGTTCCTCATTTTGTTCTATGGGAAATTTGTCTTTTCATTTATTGCTGCAAGTTTTGCTTCCCCTAATTTTTTATCGTCCATCCTGAAAAGTTAGTGATTTACAAAACTTATACTTAACATCAGGAAGAGGCAGCTGAAGCTCCTGGGACACATATTGAGGAAGGAGAATCTGATACTCACGGGTCGAATAGAGGGAAAGAGAGACAAGGAAAAATAACGCATGCCATACCAAGCAGCCTTAAGCAAGTGGATGACAGAACGCGATCTGGGGGAGGTGGCAGAGGGAAGGAACTTGTTGAGAGCTGCAAGGGATAGAAGAAGGTGGAGAGCCATGATCGCTTACGACCAGAAAGGACACGGCACATAGAAAAGAAAGAATACATATGACACAAAGTCGTATATTTGGAACACCCCAGGAAGAATCGAACTCACAGTCGAAATTGATCTAGCGAAACAATCTTCTTTCTTTCTATGTGCCATGTCCTTTCAGGGTGTAGGTGATCATGGCTCTCCATCTCCCTCTATCCCTTGCAGCTCTCAACAAGTTCCTTCCCTCTGCTTCCACCCCCAGACCACGTTCAGTCATCCACCTGCCCAAGTCTGACAGGTATGTTACGCGATGTTTTCCCTTTTATCGCTTTCCCTCTATTCGACCCGTGAGTATCAGATTCTCCAGGCCCTCCTTCCTCATTATGTGTCCTAGAAACTTCATCTGCTTCTTCCTGATATTCAGTATAAGCCTCCTCCTTGTTTGCAACATCTCTAAGTCCTCATCATTGCTCACACGTTCCGTCCATGATATCCTTAGCATCCTTTTGTAGAACCACATCTCTGTTGCCTCGAGTCTCTTCTTCATCCTTGAGGAAATCG